CCACACTGGGGGATTGCGCCCTAAGGTACTTCACCATCAAGCTACATCCCCAGCCCTTTTTTGTTTTTTTAGTTTGACACAAGGTCTCACTAAGTTGCTGAGGCTGGCCTTGAACTTGAGATCCTCCCTTCTCAGGCTCCTGAGCTACTGGGATTGCAGGCTTCATCCCTCCTCCTGCCACCACACCCTGCTCCCTGCAGAATCTTGTCCTGGCATCATGACTGTATAACGTTGCCCTTGCCTGCTGCCCCCTTGACTCCCATAGGATCTCTGTGTTCACCTGCCACCTGGGCTTCACCACATAGCCTCACCCTCGGCACTAGGGAAGCCCAGCACAAGGAGGGCCTCCCCCAAGGAGCCTCCCTCTCAGAGCAGAGTGTCCCACTTCACTGAGTTCCTGCCCTCCCTCAGCACAACTCAGTGGCCTGTCTTGCTATTTTTAATTTTCCTATCAAGTCTTCCCCAAGGTCATGAGTTTCTCTGAGGACAACAACAGTCTCTTTCTTATTTCTGTGTCTCTTGGACTTCATAGGAACTTAATAAATATTTATTGACCAACTCATTATATGTTTTGGCTCTTTCATAGCAAGAACCAGGCCTGTTTATTTGCTTTGCCCAATGGCCAGCTTGCTCTGGGGCCAATTTGGTTTTCAAAATTATGCTCCTTATTGGGAAAGATAGGTTAGAGGTGAGGAGGGGAGTCGCGGGCACTTTCTACCCTAAATGCTTTGGCATAGTTTGAAACTACATTGTGCTTGTGTTCATGTATTACTTTTGTAGTAAAAAGATTTAGGTTGCTCTTTGGGTATAATTAATATTGTATTCACATGGGTTTCAATGTGATCTTTTTTGTATTAGATTTTGTCCATACGTTTCTCCAGTCTTCCAAAGGTATCACAGTTCTATTTTGTAAATGTGTTTAAGAAAATGATACAAAATCTAGGCACATATATTAGGAATTTTATGTGGGCTATAATGGGGAACATTTTTAACTGCTCACAGTCATTTGCAGTATTATTTCAGCTGTAAGTGGGTTTCAGCTGAGACTCCTTCATCCCTCCTTGACCTCAGTGGAAAATCCTTTGCCATCCTCGATCCTCTTGCTTTTCGCTGGGCAAGGGGGTGGCCAGCAAGCCATGTTTTTATCCTGGTACCCAGAGGAGAGAAGGGCCACTTCTCTCCACCCCTAAAGAAAACTTTTTTTTTTTTTAAATTTGACTCTCTTGTTTTTCTAAATGTTAAATTTTCAAAAGAAAGATATTTTGAAGTTCAAAATGCCTTTTTCAAGACTTTCATGGTTCTCTTGGTCTGGCATTCAGCAGCCAGAATTTTTTTAATTTTTCATTTGTTCTTTTTAGTTTTACATGACTGCTGAATGTATTTTGACATATACCAACAAGAATTATTTTTTAAACAGCATCACATGGGTCAGTTCAGTGGTCAAAAAGGTCATTCCAAGTCAACATGGTTGCTTGCTGTGTGATGTGGAGAAGAATCTCCCCACAAAATCTTTGCCTTCATTGTGCTCTGGGTCCTGGAGAAGCCATCAGGGCCATCCCCCTGTCTCCAGAAAGACTGGCAGTCAGACCTGCATAGGGTGGAATTCATTGGGCAAGCAGGCCAGACCCACCCAGCACCCCAAGACCTCTCAGTTCCACCAGCTCCAACTTGGACCCTGCAGGTGTGTAGATTGGACGACCAGAACTGTCCCAGGCCAGAGGCTGTGCGCAGCCCTCCTGTCCAGCCTGAATTGGCCCCAGGTAACTAGGATTCTGGGGCCAGTAGCCCAAATTTTCTCTGGACCTGCTGCAGTTGCCCTGGCTCTGAGCTTTTTCAGAACTTGAACCATGTAAAACTTAAGACCTAGAAGAACCGAGATCCAAAGCAAGTCAGTGGTCTTTATGCCCGACAGGTCCTTGGTTTTCCTAGGTGTGTCTTCCAGTCCCTCACTCCTCCTTGTGGGTGCAATCCCGGTCTGGTTGTCAGTTTCTAATAATGTCAGTGTTTCCCGATGGAGTCTATTAGCATGTAGGGTGGGTGATATCCTGTCCTGTATATTGCAGAATTTCCTGTCCTGTTCCAGCCTGCCGAATTCCAGCAACCATCTTGTCATTAGGACAACAGGAACACAATGGCCACCCTGGGGAGTGGGGGTGCAGTTCAGCCCTTAACCTGGTGGAGGGGCGGTAGTACCAACTTCAACCTGATGGGGGCAGTACCATCTCCATCTGGGGACCACTGCACTCCAGGGTTGTGAGCTGTGCTCCAGAGGGCAGGCATCTCTCTTCTGTCCTGAATCCCAGCACCCCACACAACTGGTTTCAGACTCATGGTGGCACATCAGGAAGTGTCTGTGGGAAGAATGCATAAGATCTATGAACCTGATAAAATGGTGCTCAAAATGTGCATGTGTGTTACGTGTGTAGTACGTAAGAGCTCATAGCACCCATCTCTAAGAGAACTATGATCTAAAGGAACGTTTGGGAGACCAGGCTAGCTAGTGTCCTGATGTTTGCGTCACTGCATGTGCCACTCACAGTGTTTGCAGGGTAAATCTCGAATTCCCTCTCCGTGTCAGCATTCTGATATCCCTGGGGGAGGGACCATCCTGAAAACTCCCCAGCAAACTGCTTCCTTGAGGTGCACACCCCAAATTCTTGAGCTGAATTTCACCCTTGAATAGAAATGCCCTGACTCCTGGGCCCTTTGACTCATTCACAGGAGAGGGGTAAACGAGTGCAAGAACTGTACATGTCCCCCGTCCCCTGACTCCAATTCAGGAGTATTTCCTGGGTGCCTTCCCCAAGAAAGAAATTAGGGAGTTCCCTTAAGTTCCTCTAACCCAGAGCTCACACAGCAGCTGGGCAGAGCTGGCTGAACTGAAGGAACGAGCAGTCAGGCCAGCTTCCTACCTGAGAGTTTGCTACCAAAGCAGCTGTTCTCATAAAAGACAATCAGAACCCCAGACAGGAAGAGATGGGTCACACAGGCGCCAGGGAGAGGGCCCAAATTTAGAGGCATCTGCAAAGGTCCAGAGTTGGCTCTGAGTGAGGTCTGGGATGGAAGGGTGTGGAGGGTGTTAACATAATGATGGCTCATTCCTGCTGCCTGTCCTGGGATGTTCCTGCCCAACGAGGGAGGCTGTGCATCCCCAAAAGGCCATTGGCCAGGGAGTGAACAGAAAGCAAGGACTGAGCCAGCCCCAGAGGCAAGAGCATTTGCCAAGAAGTTCCTGGTATCATTTGCCTTAGAGGGGTTGTTCAATTTGCAGAAGCTTCCAGCATATAGACTAGCTCAGTCCCGAGTCCAGAAAAGCCCGTTGGGGGAGTTGGAATCTCTCACGAACCCTTGGTAAACCAGAGCAGGCTTCTCAAACTTTGGTGTACTTAAAACAATGACCTGGAAAGCTTGTTAAATCAGATTTCCCAGGCCCCACCTTGAGGTAGTCCACTAGGCAGGGGCCTGGTCATTTGCATCTCTAACAAGCTCCCAGGGATGCAGATGCTGCTGGTCCCTGGACCACACTTTGAGAACCGCTGGCCTCAGGCAAGGACTTTCTCATGTCTACCCCTATGGGGAGTAGAGAGGATGAGAAATGAAAGTGAATGGGACTCAGCTGGCCACTCCCCACCTACATCAAGACACCTCCCACTCTATCTCAATCTCTGGTCACACATGCGACCTCTGTGATCAATACAGACTCTTTAATAAAAAGAAGTGGGTGACTACTGGCCTGAAAGAGGTGGGCCCAGACCCGCATGCAGGGTATTCCCTAAAACCAAGCTTCCCTGCCCCTCAATGCTGTGCACCTGGGGTTGGGGCAGCCTCTACCCATAAGCAGTTAATGTTCCAAGCAGACACAACCCCAAATAAGCTAAGTGAGCCGAGTCCAGGGCTGGCCCACCTCAGGACAGTGGAGTAGCTCATGCCCTTCAGTAGCCTTGGCCTCAGCACAGGCCCTGCACGGAGCAGTCGGCCGCTGGAGGTTGTTCCTGTCTGCAGACTTGCTGCTTAGCTTCTACAGGACTGGGCAGTGGCCTTGGCCAGTAGAGTTTTCTCATTTCTATATGAGTACATCTCACATCAGATCCATGAGGCCCCCAGATCCATTCGGAGCTCAACAGAGCCACCTCACCCTCCAAAAACCAACCTTGGTAGAGCCACAGGCCCCCCTCTGCTGGGGGCCAGTAGTGCCACCTGGAGTAGAGTACAGCCTCTGGTCCTAAAGTCTCAGTCTTCACCACTGCCGAGCTGAGAGTCAGGGAGAGCCCACCTCCCTGCACCTCGGTTTCCTCATCTGTATAATGGGAGCGATTCTAGAATGACGCAGGAACATTAAAGGAAATTATCAGCGTAGAGCTGTTAGGATAGTACCTGGCATAGAAATGTTGGCCAATTGTTACTAGGTCTTTTAAGGTTATTTTCTTATTTTTTGATGAATCAGAGTGTTTGTTTTCTAGGGGTGGCATAACAAATGACCACAAACCAGTGGCTTAAAACAGCTGGAATTTATGGTCTCACAGCTCTGGAGGCCAGAAATCTGAGTCAAGGTGTGGGCTGGGCCAGGCTCCCTCCGAAGGCTCCAGGGAACATCTGCTCTGGCCTCTTGTGGCTCTGGCAGCCCCTGGCACTCCTTGGCTTCTAGACGCATCACTGGATCTCTGCCTCTGTGGGCTATGGTCAGGTGGCCTTCCTTCTGTGTCTCTCTAACCTCTCATAAGGACAACAGCCATACAGGATCAGGGTCCACCCTCATTGTGAATGTCCCCATCTTCACTTGATGGCATTGGTAAAGACCCTCTTTCCAAATAAGGTCACATTCAATGGGGCAGGGGTTAGGGCTTCAGCATATCTTAGGAGGGTGCAGTTCAACCCCCAGCCCTGCCCGACTGGAATGAGGCCACAGGGGCTCAGCCACAGGCCCAGAGCATAGTCATTGCAAAGCCCTGTGAGTTGCTCCAGAGTCTGACTAAATGGTCCCAAACGGTTGTGTCTTCCAGGGTGTTCAGACTTACATCTCTTGGATATGTTGACCCCCACTGAACGAAAGCGACAAGGGTACATCCACGAACTCATTGTCACAGAGGAGAACTACGTGAATGACCTCCAGCTGGTCACAGAGGTACTGGCAACTGGGGATGGTGGCGGGTGGGGGGGGCACTGCAGGAGGCGGGGGCCCTGCTGAGGAAGCCTGTGTCCCGATTCTGATCCTGGGACACCTTCTGATTTGTGAGGAGCACATGGATAGCAAATGCCAGGAGATCTCACCCGGGAGGAACCGTCTCTCACTGGGACTGACTGAGTCACACCCACAGAGGGGCAGAGCTTGCTCATGCGAGGGCATACAAGTCCCAGAGGCGCTGGTGGAAGGGGGCTTGTGAACTGTGAGTTGGGAATCCTGGCTGTAGTAAGAGGAGTTGCAGCTCAGCCACCAACTAGTTGATGTCATAGAGCCAGCCATGTCACTCCTGGCCCTCAGAGCTGGCATCTGAAGATGGTGCCCATCTGGCTAGTCTCTTGAGCTGTTCCTTGTGCTCCATAAACCCCTGATAAAAATCTGTTGCTGAGCATGAAGATGTGTCCTTCCAGGCCTCTGTGAGTCTCCCGGGCCTGGGATGATGCCTCAACTTGTATGTCCTCCCAGAAGAGTCTTAGCCAGCCCATCTGGAAAGATGGGGCGATACAGAGTTGGGCACCCCTGCTGAAAGGGTGGCCTCTTGTCCTACACATAGGAAGACACCATTGCAGGAAATGGGGATTTGAAACATGCCATAATAGTTTGGAACCCTACCCCTGTCATCAAATGTGGTAAAACCATCTCATCTGGTAGTCCTAGCATCCTGGAGAGACACAGCTGGGTACTCAGTATTGAAGGAGTACAGGGAGGATTGCAGGCCCCCAAGGCTGCATGAGCATATAGGCAGTGGCACAACTTCAAAAGAGTTGCCTTTTCTCAAGACATTGGACTGCTGTTATACTGTCTAAGGTGTCCAGGATGTAAGTGTCACCCCCTTAGATATGGCACCTTTGAGCAGTAGGCAAGATGCACATCATGGGTACTGGCCTGAGATATGCCTGGCTCAACATAGGCTTAAGGATTCATTCAGAATAGTGTCCCCAGGGATCACAGGCAGCCTGGGCAAGTTTATTCCAAAGACAGGCGGTACCCATCCCCAAACAACTTCAGAAGTGCCCCCTACTCCAGACAGTAGGTAAGGACCTCCTCGTGGATAGGGGGTACCGAGAGCCGTGATTTACTGCAAGTTACCTAAACACACAGAACTTGGGAAGGGCAAGGTCACCCCCTTGTGACCACCTCCTGGAAGTGCTGGCTGTGTCTGAGGCCAGCCCAGGACGCTGGGGAAAGAGCAATGAGGTTCGTCCCTGAGGGCCCCACAAGTAGCCCTGCTTATTAGCAGAGCTACTGCCTGAGGTTGCTTCCCTCCCAATGCCCCAAGCTCCTGTGGGAAGCAGCAGATGCTGCACGGGAGTGTGAAGGACAGGCCTGCGCCACAGCCATCGTAAGCCCCACTTCCCCACAGGGCCATCTCCTTGCGGTGGGCAGGCGAGACAGCTCTGCCTGCCTACATGACGTTGTGCTGGCCCCCAGCTCCTTACCGGTGGGGCTAAACCTCACCCTCCCTCCTTTGTAAGACCTCAGACTGGCCGGGCACCCCTCCATCTGCTGCAGCACTCTGCAGGAAGGTGGACCTTCCGGTCGGCTGCAGACCACAGCCCCTTCCCTGGCTCCAGACAGACCCGTGTGCGCGAGTGTGTGCAAGTTTTGAGCTAACTGTTTGCTTTCTGAACCGCTTCATTTTCTGCACCTGTAGATCTTTCAGAAACCCCTGATGGAGTCTGAGCTGCTGACAGAAAAAGAGGTTGCTATGATTTTTGTTAACTGGAAGGAGCTGATTATGTGTAATATCAAACTTCTGAAGTAAGCCTTTCTTCTCTAATCCCCAGCCGCGCCGCCTCCGGCCCGCACACTAGCACTTCTGTGTGGTCCCCTCGTGTGTCCCTCATGCATGCCACCCTGTGTCACTCTGCCTTTTTTGCTTGTTACTACTCACAGGCGCCATCGCCCTCTGTGCCCACCCTCATGCTTTCCGGAAAAACGCTTCATAGTCATTGCGGGGAGTAAGTCGCCAAGGCAGCCTCGGTCCTGCTTTGCCTGTGGGTCCAGAATGTTCAGAGCTGGGCCAGTTCTGACTGCTGACCACTGGCCAGCTGCATCCAGACAGTCCCCAGCCCCAAGGCCTTCCCTGAGACCCAGGTTCCCAGGGGGTAATGATGCTCTCTCGAGACATTGTTGGCTCCTGCACATGGAAAAGGGTGCAACTGTCCCCTGTCTAACATGACCAGAGTTCCTCGGGTGGCCTTGAGCAGCTGGCCTAGGGCCATTTGTATTTTAGTCCTATTCTAGTCTGCAGAGGCAGCTGTGGGGCTAGGAGTCGAGGGACCTGGGTTGGGATACAGTCTTGCTGCTCTTCCTCTGTGAGCCTTGGTTTCTTCATCTATAAAGTGAAAGGACTGGGTCAGATCATCACAAAGGTCCCCCCACCCCAAAACCTAGAAAACCAAAATGTGTGTCCATCCGGTCCTCATTAGAACTTGCGAGAACACAGATTAGGTCCTGACCTCTGGGGCCTGTGATAGAGCGGCTGGTAACAAGGGCCCCCTCTCCAGGCCTGAGAGGGAAGCGCAGCCACCCCAAAGCCCATGTCCATACCCCATCTCCATATTCAGGTCATCGGGAAGCCACCAGTTCCTAAATGTTGTCCCCACATTGTTTTCGTAAAGTAATCTCAGGGCCCCACTTTCTTGGGTATGTGTTTGGCAGTGGATGAAGGGATGGGCAGGGAGGCGTGGGCAGGTGACATGAATAAAGGTACAGAATGTCTGCTCACTCTGCTCTGGAACACAAATAGGCGCTTAGAGAAAGTCTTTCTGTTTTCCTCCTCCAGAAGGATGCTGTAGAAGTGTTCCAAGCTTAGGATGGACCTCAGACTTGTGCTCACATCTTGCTATTGCCTCTGGCTGTGTGTCTTTGAGCAGGTTGCTTAAAGTCCCTGGGCCTTGGTGTTCTCATATGTAAAATGGGGATTTCATTAGTCTGTATTCTATTGCTATAACAAAAAACCTGAAGCTGGAAACCTTATTATTTTTTTTTTAAAAAGGCTTATTTAGCTCACAGTTTTGGAAGCTGAAAATCTCTGATCTGGTGGTCTCTTCTGTTTGGCCTCTAATGAGGAGGGCCTCATGGTGGGAGGTATCACAGTGACAGAAGTGTGCGAGGAGAGAACACACAGTGAGACAGGAAGCCAGAGGGATTCAGGGGCCAGTCTCGCTCTTTTGTAACAACTCATTCTGGGGGAAACTGACCCAGGTCCTGTGAGAGCTGTATTGATTCCCTCCAGTGACCTCATTACCTGGCACTAGGCTCCCCCTCTCAAAGGTCCCACTCAGTACTGACCCTTGCCGTCACCTGGGTGGAAGGTGTTGATTAATCATGAGCCTTCAAGTACTAATCTTAAAATTCTGGAGACACATGGTTTTAAACAAATGAGCTCTGTAGGGGCCAGGCCTGTTAGCTCTGACCTGCCTAATGGCCCCAAAGTGGGGACTGAGAGTACTGTGACGGCGAGGGAAAGAAAACGCAGAGAGGCTGATTGAATTTCCCAAAGTCACACAGGAGGTGGGCTGTTCTATGTGTGGCACTCAAGGTCCCCAAAACTGGGGATTCCACTCAATCACTTCCCCCAGTGAAGCATCTGGAGTCACATGGCCTAAGTTTTTGCCAGGACTCCAGAACCTTCTAACTTCTTTAGGGCAACTACCTGGAAGAGTAACGCCCATCCTGTGTTCTAACCCCTGTGTGGCTGCAGCCACCGTCCCTGTTTTGTCTAGGATGCAGGGCCATTGAGAGGAGCCAGGAGGTCCTGTGTACAACTGGCACACTGCCCATCCTGGGAGAGTGAGCTGGGTGCTCCTGGCCCCTCTCCCATCCCAAGGCCCCCGCTCCCTGTCCCCCTCTCCTGATTGACTGACTAGCTAGTTTGGGTTCACTGGCTTAAGTTTTCTTCTTTTAGATAAATCTTGTATTTAACAGGAGCCTTCTGGGGATCTGTTTTTTTTTTTTTTAATTCATTCCTACATTTTATGATGAACTACTTCAAACCCAGAGAACTTGGGAGGACTCTAGGGTGAGCACCTGCGGACGTTTTGCTCACTCGCTTGGCCGCATGGATGTGATTTCTCCATGCGACGGAGCAGCCTGATGATGGGGAGCTCGGAAGGCTCCAGCAGCCTGCAAGAGGGAGGCCATTGGGATAGAGGGGACTTAAGGTGACATTCCTGGAAAGCCACCAGCAAGCTGCCTCACAGCTGCCATTCCTGATCCAAGGCGCAGGGCACGCTGCTGGTATGTAGGGGAACCACCGGAGTCAGCAGATCAATAACTAATAAGCCGTAAAAGGAAAATAAAAGGAGGTCACCTGCAAAATGTGCACCTCCTGCCACTGAAGCCTCTAGTGGACATTAGAGAGAGGTCGGCCTCTTCCTGGTGAGGAACGTGCCTCTAGAAAGCCGGGCAGTGCAGAAAGAGCCAGAACCTTTTTGAATCCAGAGCCCGGGCCCCTCAGGCAGGGGTCAGGGAGACAGCAGAAGGGAAGCGAAGGTGGGTGGGGGCAGTATTGGACCTATTTTTTTGAATCAAGAGTCTTGGGAGGGGTGGAAATAGGTAAGACGGTAGAATGAACTGGACGAGAGTTTCCTACGTGCATAGGAATCCGTGACCAGTGACTCCACGTCAGGCACAGCCCCAGGAGGGGAAGTTATTCTCCATATATGTTTGGTGTCTCAGATACACTCTACCGTCACGTGTCACTGCAAGGGACAAGTTAAAAAAAGGAGAAAAAATAGACTCTTTCCTGCTCCCTTTGATAGAAGGAAAAGAAAAAAGGAAGGAAAATAGAAAAAGGGGGAAAAAGAAGCCCAAGAACTTCTCCCCCAAAAAGTGGCTTTCTCAAAGTCTTTGAATCACCTTCTTTTGAACTTAAGAAAAATGATAGCACTTTATTTCGTTCAAGCAGAAAATGAAAGAACAATAAAATCTGAAACCATATCTTAGTGGCTGCGACTGGATGGGAGGAAGGAGGGGAAAGGGGATCGTCGGGCTGGGTGTAGACAAGAGGAGACTGTGTGGAGATGGGGGAAGGAAGCGAGAAGGGAGGTCCAGAGGCTGAGCGTGGCGTGGAGAGACGGGGGCCACACGGGGAGGAGGGAGTTGTCCCCACCACAGGCTCTGGGGTCAGACCTGGGTTCCAGGGATGCCTCTGTCACGTGTTCACTGTGTGACTTGGTCCAGTCACTCCATTTCCACGTGCCTTGGTTTCCCCAACAGGAAGTGTGGCTAATAATTATTAGTCAGTTTTGCATTACTCTAATGTAAACACCCAAGATGATCAGCTTAAAAAGAGGAAAGGTTTACTTTGGCTCACAGTGTGGAGGTTCCAGTTCACGGTCAGCTGGCCCCGTTGCTTGTGGGCTTGTGAGGCAGCATGTCACAGTGAGAGGTCAAGACAGCTGGGAAGCAAAGAGAGACAGAAAGTGGGTGGGGTCCCAATATTTCCTTCAAGGATGTGCCACCAATGACCCAACTTCCTCCAATGAGGCCGCACTTCGTCCCAGTAGCACCACAGGCTGAGAGCCAAGCCTCCAACAGATGGGCCTTTTGGGGACTTTTTTTTTATCCAAACTATAGCAGTAGTATGCATTTATTAAAAGTGTTTAGCACATAGAAAGCATGAATCCATGTTAGCTCTTGATCATGCACAGCCCGGAGGCTTAGGCACATTCATGCATTCTGTAAACATCCAGTGCTCTGTGAGGTGTTGATCAGCTTATCCATTCCCTTGGCCCCTCACACTTCTCATCTCTAAACTTTTTCATGAAATGGCAGATCAGCTCATCAAAGGTCAGATGCTCTGAGGACTGTGGCTACAACCACAGAGTCATATGACCCTAGGCCTGATAGCACCCTCCACTCCTCATAAGCCTGTAAGGCAACTGAACCCCACAGGGGCAAGGCCCTGGAAAGTCCAGTCTTGATTTCAGGCCTGCCTCCTGGTTGGACAACTCGGTCAACCCACATGGGCCTCCAGAGCCTAGCAACCAGCCCTGTATACACAAGACAATGACAATGTGCCTATGAAGTTTCTTTTTTTCTCCCCCACCATTCAAAAAGGAGGGAGAGGGTGAAAATACTTTCATTACCTTGTAGAAAAACTGCTCCTCATAAAAAAATGATGGAATTGCTTCCTGCTTCTATTCACAGCAACTTTATAACATGGTTTTGGGACACTTCTCCCCCGAAATTGTTAGTGATATCAGCCTTAAGCAAATTTCTGCAAGGAGATTCCACACCAGCCCCTCAACGGGCAGTGTCCTTTGGGCTATCCTGAGGACGCCAAGCTGCTACTTCTCACACCCCGGCAGCCAGTGCTGACCTCTCCCATGGGGACATCCACTGGAGGTGGAATTACTGATTGCTCATATAATTTATTTTCCCTAAAGTCTCATTCCTTAGTTTTCTCGGGCCTAGGAAATTTTCTTTACCCAAAAAATGTGCAAGGAAGAAAAGAAAGTGATCCCAAATTTTTAAAGCCTAATGTTAACTGCAGAGCCTCCTTGGAATTATATAGCCCTACCCATATCTCAAGGGCTGCTCCAATATGACCATGGAAGTGGCCAAAGGAATGCATAGGGACATCCTCCCAGCCTCATATGACAACCCTACCCCACCATTCTGTTCCATCCACCCACCCACCCATCCCCCTGTGGTCACTCGGGCAGCTGAACAATTCATGGCCTTGTGTGGTGTGGCCTGACCTTGGAGTACATTGCTCTCCTTGCCATATAGAAGCTCAGCATCTTCCAGAAGCTGTCTTAAGAGTTCACGTATTAGGTTGGAAGGATGGATGTCACAGTCCCGGCAGTCTTGGCTTTGAACACTCACTTTACAGGTGGACCCCAGAACAAATGCTTCCCAGTCCTTCCAACGCCTCTTCTTGGCTTTTGGGATGTAGATTGTTTGGGCTCATTGGCCCGTTGCTATAGTAAAAGACTTCTCCCTTCAGAACCCTTAATCTGGTCAACCTCGAATTAGCTATAAAGCAGAGAATGGCAGAGATCGTTCAAACCACTATGATTAATAATGAATCTTAATTTTGGCAAACATAATGGGATTATTTTTTGTGGTAATTGATTACCATCTTCATTATGTTCTGTGTAGTCTAAAAATATGTCTCCCCGTCCCCAGGTGACAGCAACTTCCCTTGGGTGGCAGTGACCCCAGAAGTAGGCTCATTGCTCATGCCCTGCCAGCTTGGGCTTTCACCACAGATGATCCTTGAAGCAAGACATCAGGGGTCCTGCCCAAGTTATCAGGGAAACGATTCCATATTTCACCACAAGAAGAAAAATGGTGGCAAATAGCCACCATGCCAAAGAAAACGCCCCTGCGACCCCTCTCCATAGCGCTAGACTCATTTCTTTCTCTGTTCCTTGTCTCCCAAATAGATGCTTTAGTGGCCCTCGGGTCTGTGCCCCTCACACACATTCCGTTTCTGTACCACCTAGAAGTGTGCCGCAGTGCTGTCAGGCAGCGCGAAGGCGGGGGCTCACCTCCCGTGTTTCCGTGCAGAGCGCTGAGAGTCCGCAAGAAGATGTCTGGGGAGAAGATGCCCGTGAAGATGATCGGGGACATCCTGAGCGCCCAGCTGCCCCACATGCAGCCCTACATCCGCTTCTGCAGCTGCCAGCTCAACGGGGCTGCCCTGATCCAGCAGAAGACGGACGAGGCCCCAGACTTCAAGGAGTTTGTGAAAGTAAGGGGGCCAGGCTGCGCCTCCACGGTGGGGATCACGGGCCGCTGGGTGTGAGGGCTCATCAGGGTCTGCAAACATCTTCCCAGTGAAGGCCAGCAGGGGTTGAAGTCTCGCCAAGCAATCAGAGATTGGCACTAGCTGCAGCTGTAGAGAGGTGTGGCTGTCACCCAGGGGGCTGGGCTCAGCCCTGGGCCTGGAAGTTTTGAGCGTCTTCAGAGATCTCCTTCCTGGGCATCAGTGGTGTTTCTTTGAAGGCAGTTTAAGTCTTTCACCTCATTCGTTGGACCTGGCAGGGCTCGGGTTCCCCTTCTGTTAATGACAGCATCCTCAGTTCCTTGCTGGCCTCTGCCCTTTGCCTGCAGAGCTCACCTGCCAGGGGTCCCAGTGGTGCCCCTTCTCCTTCTCAGTCACTCTGCTTGATGGGCTCAAGCTCTGAGCAACCCACACGAGTCAACATGGGACACCATGACCTCTCCTTGGGACTGGCAGGGTCCTAAGAGCCACGTGTCCCTCAGGGGACATTTGGGGAGGTGGTGCCAATACTGCTAGAAGTCCCCACCCTGGGCTTGCAGTCCTGAGACTTGGCATTAACCAGAGTGGGTCCCTGCTGGCCACACCAGTCATTTCTCCAAGGGAAAAATAGGACAAGAACAGTCACTTCCATCAATCAGGTTCATTATGATTAATAAGCAACAAGATAACAATAAGGACAACTGGTATACCTTCAGGGGGCAGGCCATTTCTCACCTCCCTGAGAATTCTGTGTTCATCATCACTGTGAGGCAAAAGTATGGCCTCTTCCTGGTCATAGCCTCACATAAACTTCCTGTTCCTTCCCTCTCCTAACCCAGTGTTAAACCTCTACATTAAATGCTTAGATTTGCTAGCCAATAAATGAGACATTCTGAGGTCACTCAAAGGTGAGAAATGGATAAGAAGTAGACTGAGCCAGGCACGGTGGCACACACCTGTAATCTCAGTGACTCGGGGCTGAGGTAGGATGGTCACAGTTTCAAAGCCAGCCTCAGCAACTTAGAGAGGCTCTGACTCAAAAATATAAAATAAAACTGGGGCCTGGGGTTGTAGCTCAGTGGTAGAGCGCTTGCCTACCTTGTGTGAGGCACTGGGTTCGATCCTCAGCACCAAATATAAATAAATAAATAGATAGATAAATAAAGGCCCATTGATAACTATATTAAAAAATAAAACAGGCTGGGGTGGGGCTCAGTGGTTACATGCCCCTGGATTCAATCCCATGAGCCAGAGATGGGAAGAGATGCTGAGCGGCCCGGTCTGGGCACAGGCAGGATGAGGTCATCATTGGATGCACTTGAACTTCAGGGAAATGCTGACAGAGCCCAGGGTGAGGGGCTTGTTGTCCCTCCTCTCTTCATTTCTCCTGCCTCATTCCAGCAGGAGCTTGGCACGCCTTTGCCTTCTGAGAGGCTTTCCGGGAACAAAGGTGTCCTTGGCTGGATGTCAGGTCTAGATGCTGACCGTCCTCAGGCCTCAGCGCACCAGCAGTTCACAGCAGCTGCCTGTGTCTACGGCGTGAAACCAGAGCAGAGTCTTGGGGAGATAAGTCACTGTATAGCCCTGTGACTGGAAGACAAGCTCTGATTTGGGGGGCAGAAAGACTCTCTTCCACCAGACAGGCTCACAGAATTGACAGAGTGGTGCAAGGAAAGGGGCGGGATCTGAGGGCAGAGACAAATCACAGGCCCCGAGACTGAGTCTTGGCCCCCAGGTCTCTCCCTGCCCAGAGATGCGGGCTGGCTGTGCGCAAATCTAGATGAGATTCAACCCTTCTGCTTCTCCAGGACTTGGGGGAGTTTTTTTGTTTTGTTTTCTTGGTACCAGGGATTGAACCAGGGGCCTTAATCACCGAGCAACATCCCTGGCCCTTTTTTATATTTTATATAGAGACAGGGTCTCTATGAGTTGTTTAGGGCCTCACTAAGTTGCTGAGGCTGGCTTTGAACTCACGATCTTGAGGAAGATTTTTGCTCTGACTGTATGGTCTTGTGATTCTTCTTCTTCTCCGGAGTTGTGTAAAGTTGTTTTAGATATTGGAAGAATCTCCTCTCTGAGCAGGGAACTATGTATCCCACAGAAGATATGCTGAATCTAGAGGGCGGGGCCTAACCTGGGGTATGGGTCATACCTGGGGGTCTCCCATTCTGTCTCTGGAAACTGCCTCATCTTGGACCATTGTAACTGGTCAGGCCCTTCCAATCCCAGGTTCCGCAGCTATCATCCAGATAAATGAGATAATGGGTGGAGAGTCCTAACTGACATTAGTGTCGATGTCACTGACTTTGGACTTTTCAGATTTATGAGATACATTTAAACAAATCTCTTATTTCAGAGATTGGCAATGGACCCTCGCTGTAAAGGGATGCCGCTGTCTAGTTTTATACTGAAGCCTATGCAGCGGGTAACAAGATACCCACTGATCATTAAAAATGTAAGTACCCGTCTGACCTTTTCAAACCGAGGAATACCTTCTCAGCATTGGAGAGCACTGGGGTCTTTAGCAGTTTCCCCAGCCAACACACCTGATGGTTGTGCAGAATCCATGTGCCAACAGGGTGTTGGATCCATCTGCTTGGTAGCTCAGAGAAAAGAAGTTGGTTTAGCATGAAAAGAATTCATGACATGCAGCCTTCACATGTGCTACCAAGTGGCTTTTACCTTCTAAGCCAGAAAACGAGAGCTCAGTTCTTGGTTCTCTTCCTAATGTGGGGCCCACTGCCTCTGTGCTTTGATTTTCCTAGCAGGAAAGAAGGAAACACGATTCCTGTCACCATCTGCAGAAGGCCACCGTGAGATACTCTGTGTTGATGTTAGACAATCGTTTTTTCTCTTGTCACTTCAAGAAAGCCAGTACCATAATAACAGAGCAAAATCAGGGATCAGTGTCCTCATGTGTAAAATGAGTGGACAGACAAAGGCATCTCTGAGCCTATGATTCTACAACCACAAGAAGTGTATCTCCTGAAGAGAGGTTTTAGGTCTGTTTTTTTTTTAACCGAGAATGATATCTAGAAACCCAGATCTGGGCACTGGTGTGCTCATCACGGCTGGGTTGACATTGTCTTTGGGCCTTTCAGGACAGAATTGGGAAATATATGTATGTATATTTGTACATAGATATTTGCATATACATATATTAATTTCCAAATTAGTTTATCTATGTATATTAAAACCCATAAATTCACAGTTACCCCCTACTGTAATCCAATACCACAGGATTTATTCCAGTGTTCCCCTTTCTATATACTCTATGAGACACCTGGCTTTCAGGGTTCTCAACAGGTTGTATATTTGCTCAACCTCCACATACTTAACACATCTCCCTCCCATATACGCCGTCTCCACAGTGCAGCCCTATCTCAGCCCCACAAAACACACTTCAGGCACTTTGGCTGAGTTAAATAGTTTTGAAAGCTTCTTTCAAACTACTGTTTCCTTCTTCCCAATTCCACAGTCACCATTTAGTTAGTTCAATACTTCTCTTTATTTCCCTCCGTGTGTAATTGCAAATCAAAATTGGAAATATCCTTTTAAAACAGGTGTTCTAGATCTAACCAATGGGGAGGAAACACAAAAGCAAGAAAAGAACTGAGAGGCATAAATATTAAAAAGGAAAAAAAAACTCACAAACTGTCATTTTCAGAAACAAGCTAGCTGCTCCCCAGAGCATCTAAGAGAATGAACTGGAAGCTGACTGAACTCAAAGAATTGAAGAAGGCAGCAAGGCCTCAGGTGCACATGAGAGACCTTCCACGTGAAAGTACTAAGGCTGGATGTTTTGGTGGAGGGGTTCTGAGCACGGCACCCACCACAGACCTTAGCCATAGCAACCTAAAAGAAAACTTTTATTCTGGTAAAATAGGTCCAAACCATAAGTCTGGACTATGAAAATATTTTAGAAGCCAGGGGACAATTTCTGTTTTACGTTATTAGCAGAGAACGAGATCCAGAAAAAGCTGTTGAGTGAAAAAAACCTCATCGAGGTGTCCTCCAGTATGTTCCATTTTGCAAAAGGGGGAGGCAGGCTGAGGATACAGTGCAGCGGCAGAGCACTCACCCAGCATGCGGGAGGTCCTGGAGTCCATCCCCAGAACAGTTAAGAAAAGGCCGGGGAGGGGGACTTTACGTGTGATTATTAAACACCTGTTGCTTAAAGACGGGGTACATTCTGACAAATGTGTTGTAGTTGATTCTGTCACTGTCCTCACATCAGAGTGTTTACACAAACTAAGGCAGTGATGTCATTAGGCAATATAATGTTATGGGACAGAATCCATATGAAATCCATCGTTGGCTGAGGCATCCTGATGAGGCGTGTGACTGTACACAGAGCATCCCGAGACCCTGAAGGAATGTCTTCAGCCCTGCGGTGGTTTCTTCTGCAGGAGGACAGGCAAGGCCGCGTTCACTCCTGTTCTATATACCTCTGTATTGTTTGCTGTTGCACAATAGGACCGTCAATCTACTATTTTCATAAACATTTTTTTTCTTAAAAATTTCTGTTAGAAAATATAATGAACAAAGAAAGGCTAAGATAAATGACAGATTGTATAAACTGTGTAAATATAAGTTTAACTATATATAAGTAGGCACTGAAATATGAACAGGTATCTGTATGTCACATACTCTTCTAACTTAAAAACAAAACTTCAGTAGAAAAAGAGGTAAAACACACCTGGAAACTGCTGAGGTGTGGTGTAAAGTGGTGGTGAAGAGATGCTACAAGTTTTGAGCCAGGATGCCTGGGTATGAATCTTAGTACCACCTCAGTGCACCCTCAGGTGAGTTACTTAACTTCTCTGGGCCTTGGTCTCCTTGTGTGTAAAACAGACACTAATAGTACTGTCTGCTTAGTGCTGTGAGAATTAATGGAGTAAACACCTGTAAAGTGCCTGGATTATTATTTACTAGTATATAAATGTTAGTTTTGTCATTTAGTACACTTATGTTTATTTAGTACACTTATGTATTAAGCATGCAAAAAGTTCACAGTCACAGATGATAAAGGAAATGCATAACAAAACCAGAAAATACCTTGTTTTGGGCTTGCCAAATGGGCACATATTGGAAAAAAGATTGTAGGTCTCCAGGGTCGGCAAGGATGCTGGTGGAAGGTAAATGGCTACAGCCTTTTGAATGGTAATGTGTAGATTAATCTGTCCTCTCCCCTCCCCTCCCCTCTCCTCTACTCTTCTTTCCTTTCTTTCTTTCAATTGAAACCAGGCCCTTGCACATGCTAAGCAATTCTCCACCTCTGAGCTATCCCCAGTCTGTTTTAAAATTTTATTTGGAGACAAGGTCTTGCTAAGTTGCCCAGGCTGATCTTAAACTTGTGATCCTCCTGCCTAAGCTTTCCAAGTGGCTGGGATTATAGATGGGTGCCACCTTGCCCAGCTACACTTTCTCTCTCTCTCTCTCTCTCTCTCTCTCTCTCTCTTTTTAGTGGTGCTGGGGACTGAACCCAGGGCCTTGTGCATGTAAGGCAAGCACTCTACCAACTGAGCTCTATCCCCAGTCCCTACACTTTCTCTTCAAATCATCAAATCCACCTCTAGGAATTTATTTTAAGGAAATAGTTAAAGAAATATTGAAAAATTGGAAACAACATAGAGTTTTTTGAGTGGAGAACTACTTGAACATATTGTGAGTCTGTCTTATGATGACATATTTTACAACCCTTCAAAGTGGCAGTATAGATCCATATGAAACAGATATAAAGTGATATGCTATAAGCCGTGTACAAAATGGTAGCATGATACAATTTTAATTTTTAAAAAATTTCGTACATATGAATCCATTAACTAATACGTAGATAGAGGTTCTCTCCAGATGGGGAACTACGAATGACCTTTAGTATCTGGGTAACTTTCTGAATTTTCTAAATTTTGTACATTGTAAATACTACTTTTACAACTAGAAAAATCGATGAACCTGTTTTCATTTTGGAACAAAGCAAATGAGTTCATACAATTAGCCGAGCAGGCTCCCTGTCTAGAATAGTGGTCCTTGGGCTCATCTGCATCATCCCAGCATCATCTGGAGAGCTCCGGGAAATGCCTAAGCCAGAGTTCTACCCCAAGGATTCTGATATGGTTGGATGAGTCTTCAGGATTTTTCAAAGAAAGTCTCATGTGTAGTCAGGATTTGTGCTGAGGATGAGGTAGTTGCTTGGAATTAATTGGTGGATACACAAGATACAGAATATGTCAATTCAGTATGTCTCAGTTTGGCCACTACTTAGGACTTTAAGCCAAAGAATACCTTTGAGAAGAGATATTGTATGGGATAATGTTCATTTGAATTACTTGCCTGGGCAAGTACACTCTTGGCATTCTCCTGGTACCTTGTAAAAGTAGCTTAGGGGCTTTCTTTGTTTTAGGACAGAAGATGGTAACTATTTTTTGGGACCCCAAAGCCCTTTGAGAATCTGATGGCAATTGCTATGGCTTTCTAAGGGGCAGGGACTTTAAAGTGGTTCATTTATATCAGGTCATTTAGTCCTTCAAATAACCTTTAAAAAGAGGCACTATTTACATCTCTGTTTATCATAGGAGGCAACTGAGAACCAGGGCCTTCAAGAAACCAATGCAAAGTGTTATTGATAAGTGTGACACAGCAGGGATATTAACCAGGAGTCTAGCTCAGGAACTGGCACTCTAAACCACTAAACTTGGAAGAGTCTACTCAAAATGCAAACGTTTGCTCCAATGCACCCATCTGCATATAGTTTCATAGATGCATGGAGGCCCACATCTGTGCATGGACCCAGGAAAGAGCCATTCTCTATGGGATATCCATGCAGGGTGCAGACACTGTTCCCCAGTACCCAGCACTGCATGCTAACCCCCGCCCTCTGCAAGTGTACCCTGCCCAGTCTTGCACCTTAGTCTGAGTTCATGGGACACTGTACAGGTCTAACACTGGAATTCCATCCTAAGTTCCCTCGGGTGAGTTGAGCAGGTGGGAGAAGAGTTACAGCTGGCTGCTGGCTGGGAATCTGGCTTTGGTCCCAGTCTCTGGGCCAAGTTTCTTTCTCTGTGAAATAGGGTAAAGGTTTTCAAAGAGAGACCCTGAGGTCCCTTCTGGCTCCATGGTTCTGTGTGCCTCCTGAAATCAATCCTGAGAGCTTGTCTGTATGGTTTAGAGTTCACCCTGGGAGGTCAGTGTTTTGCAGGACAGGTCACACAGCTTGCCCTGGGGATGTTCAAGGGTATGGGGTTGGGATGAGGTTCAAGGGCAGGTTGCCTCTTGGTGGGACGCTTAGCCCTCACTGAGCCCACGAAGAGGAGGGGTCTTCAAGGCCACTTGCTACAGTGGCCATCATGCTGTGTGCCATTGCCTGGTGGCGCTCAGAGCTGTGGTTGCCCAGGGGGGCACGGTTAGAAAAGGGTTGTGCCCTACCTCTGCTGGACTGTGTCCTCCAGGACAACGGACCCCAGGCCCACCCATGTTGCCTGTTGTCTTCTGTTTTCCTGTGTAGATCCTGGAGAACACTCCTGAAAACCACCCTGACCACAGCCACTTGAAACATGCCCTGGAGAAGGCCGAAGAGCTGTGTTCCCAGGTGAATGAGGGGGTGCGCGAGAAGGAGAACTCGGACCGGCTGGAGTGGATCCAAGCCCATGTGCAGTGTGAAGGCCTGTCGGAGGTAAGTGCCCCTGGGGCGGGACCTGGGCCTCCCCTCACTCAGCTTCTGTAGCCACCAAGAAGGAGGACAAGAAAAATCATGCACCATCCTCCCCGCCAGCCTACAGTTTCCTAATTCTCTCTCAATGGCTTCTTATCTGCTGTTTAATCTTGATAGATTTTTATTATAATCGTATTATTTCCTGTGGCCAACAGTTCTGTTTATTTTCTTCAATCTGGTTTCTTTCTTGTGTCTTGTTCCTCGCTCAAGTGTTCATGCTTCTCATTTTTTTCTTAGCACATTGTAAACATATTCCTGTATATTCCAAATCCAGTACCTAAATACCTAAAGTTATGGGTCCGATACCTAAAGTTATGGGTCTTATTCTTTTGTCTGTTGTTTCTGTTCGCTCTTGCTAATCATACCTCGTTTTTTGGTATATATTGTGAGTACCTTTTCTTGCTGTACTGGGGATACCGTGCTATGCTGGGAATACTGGGCAAGTGCTCTGTCACTAAATGACACCGCCAGCCCCTGCAGTGTGATTCTTAACTGTGAATTCAACATTCCTAGGAACTTCACCTAAGGGCGTCTCTGCTGTCTGAAGTAGCATTCGTCATGAGAGGATTGCTCCAGGATCACTCTAAATTATATTTAGAGCGTGTTTTGGGATCATATTAGTTGTGTGGATTGTGTGGTTGCCTGTGTGAGAGCTTCCTGGTGGTCACAAATTCCCAGAGGCACGTTTTCCTCCATTTTCACCAAAGTCAAAAGCAAAAAAGGTCTCTTGCTCATGCTTTCTGCACTTGAGTTTGCTTGTTATAGAAACCTTTTTGTGGAGATTTCCTGTTACATCCCTGACCTGGGTCCTGGAACATCTCCTCCTGTCTCTGTGCCCTACATAGCCATTAAAATGGAGATGCAGCATCACCAGATTCAGCTGAGACTCTAAGGACTAAACCTGACTTTGGGGCTTGATTATCTTTCAAGGATATAATTTTATTTTGGTTTTTGGCCTCTGCGTATTTTTAACTTTATTATTATTTATTTTTGCTGAATGCATTTAAAAAAATAGGATTTTTGTTGATTTTTAAAAAGCTTTTGTTGGTGAGTCATCCAGAGTATCTAGTCCACCATACTTCCAGAAATGGAAAGACGGAAGTGTCTTCTCTGACCTTTAATTCCTTTTTTTTTTTGTCATTCAACTTTTTCTTTATTCTCATTCATCCTTTCTACCCGTTTTTTTTTCTGTCTCTGTGTAAGTGTGCACGCACACACACATACATGCACACACATACGCCATGCACTAGGGTTTCCCAGTGTGCCCAGGGAGAATGTGTCCCCATCATCCACCCTCCCCATGGCTCTTCTCTCCTCTAAGCTTCAAAGACAGCACCTGGGTAAGTCACCACTGTGTGCCTTCCCGGCCCCACATCTGCCCATCTTCAGTGCAGGTGAGGGTTAGCAAAGCTAACCTGTGGAAACCAAGGTGAAGGCCATGGGTCCTCGTTTTGGAATCTAGGGATGGTCTTTGGTTTATTGGCTCTCTCTCATTCACTCATTCATCTAATAAACATTTATTGAGTACCTGCCGAGAGGCCATAACTTGATTCTAAACCCCAAAGACATAAAAAAATAAGATGTGACCCATACACTCAAAGAGCCTATGGGCCTCCAGAGAGCTGGGGTTAAACTAATATTTACAACAAAATGGGAGAGTGATGAGCAGAGCTGGCTGGCAAGCGTGTGACGAGGAGGGACAGCTGTGCAGGTGTTCAGGGAGGCGCTGGACTAGGTGACCCGTGCCTGGACGTAGGAAGATGAAGCTCTCTCTCTCTAGTGAGGAATGGGGGGGTGTCTTGAGTGGCAGGGGAATGGACAGTGGTGGAGAGCAACGATCTGCCCCACTGATTTAGGGAAGCTGCGGGCTGGCCAATAGGGCTATGTAGCGTTCAAGGATCGTTGCTTTGATGCTGGAGACAGAGGCCCTGACCGCTTCTGATGAGACGCTGAGATAGCAGAGTGCACTTTAGTAAGGGGCCCTCCCTGAGTCTCCATCAGAGGGTGCAGGGGCCTAGGTCTTCACCTGAGGATGTTAAGAATAAAATAGATTCTTGACATCTGATTTTTGAGGCTTATATCCCCCCTTTAAAACCAACTTATTGTCCTTCATCGACTGCACTTTCCTTGTTTTCATACCCAGCTTATGGTTGTCTTTATGGCATTCACAGTAAGAGGAAGGGAACAGGATGGCTTCTGATTTCTGTCTCATAACCACAGAGTGGCCCACATGTGGCCCAGAGCTGGATACACGCCAGTGATTAGTTTTCAGATGAATGCTGTTTCTGGCATTCTTGTCCAGAGACAGAGGAATGCGAAGACTCTTCCCAGTTCACACAGAGCCAGTGTTAACCTGGCCGCCTGAGAGCCATAAACTAGGAGTGTGAATGCAGGACATTCTCTAAATGACATTGGATCCAGGGACATTTGCCTTTTCTAGACTCACTGTCACCAGTATCTTGAACTTGGCAAGCAAGAAGAGCCAGATTGGTCTCTTGGCTTCTGTTAAGAGTGCATGGGGTGAAGATTATTCTCTGAAGGCTCCTGTTGGGGTGTCCCCTTCAATCTTTCTCTCAGAGCTTTGGAGAGAGGTTAGAGGACATCCTTCCTCCACAGACCTGTTGAGTGGAACAGAGCGACTGCTCTTCTTGTTAACCTCTTTGGTCACAGAGGCACCACCAAATCTTTCTCCCACATTGGAGGTACACAGGCAGCCACCAGCATCTCTGGGAGATGCTTTTTGGGAGCTCCATTGCCCCTACACGGTCTGCTCGGAGAGGTCTAGAGGGATCACAGCTCTGGAAACCTGACCTTGAAGGCTGCTGTATAGACCACGGCCAGGGCAGATGTGGGCCCGGGCAGATGTGCAGGCAGGTGGAGACCATGAAGGTCCAGCATCTGCCTGGATCACCTCACTGCCTGGGACACAGCTGTGGTACCTGCTGCCTCATCCTCACCACTTGCTGTCAAATGGGACCTTTGTGGAATTGTCTCTACCCCAGCCCCCCTTTGCCCCTTTGCCCCTGCTGGCATGAGATCATCAACCCCAGGGAGGTGTTACAGCCACATGTCAACACTCATAGCTGTCCCTAAGGGTTGGAAAGTGTCAGGGAGAGAGCTGTCCCCTTCACATTTTCAGAATGAGTTAGTTGGTTGGGATTTAATGTGCACGAGACAGTGTCTGTTGAGGTGTCTGTCACTAAGCACTCCTGAGTTTTGCCGTCACCCACATGCTAGGGGGCCTGAGAAGTTGCATTTGTCTTGTGGACTTATATAGGAGAGTCCCTGCTGCTTTCCAGAAAAAGGGGGCTTCTGTTTAAGCTGGCTTCTGCCACTCTGGTGCAGCACCTGACCCTGATGGTCATGAGGGTAGGAGCCAATGGGGTGGTTTCTCCAATAATCAAAAGGGAGAAACACACGCTTGGGAAGAGCCACAGGTTTACACCAGGACTCCTCTGGACACTTGGAATCCCCAGAACCATATCTTTGACTTTGACTTCTTGGCTCTGAAAGGTCTTCATAGCCATCCTGATTTGTGCCCAAGCTGCAGCTGATGGGGCCTGTCCATGGATTTTGATGGATCCCATCCTTCCGGGTGGAGAGAAACAAAAATAAAAGCATGACCTCCCTTTATTGTGTCTTCTTTGGATTTTGTTTTCCTTTCTCAGCAACTGGTGTTCAATTCAGTGACCAATTGCTTGGGGCCACGCAAGTTCCTGCACAGTGGGAAGCTGTACAAGGCCAAGAGCAACAAGGAACTGTACGGCTTCCTTTTCAATGACTTCCTCCTGCTGACCCAAATCACCAAGCCCTTGGGGTCTTCCGGCTCGGACAAAGTCTTCAGCCCCAAGTCTAACCTGCAATATAAAATGTACAAAACAGTAAGTTCTGTTTAGGGTGCACTAGCAGGGCTGGTGTGCTTGGGGAGGAAGGAGTTTCCAGAGGAGCCAGTTTGGGCAGGATTGGGGTTGTGGTGTGGAGGAGAAGGCAAAGGGATGAGCCAGGATTCAGGGTCATGCATTGCCAGTAACACACAATTCCACTGGTTACACATGGATTAGCTGCTCTGGGTCCCCAGGACATGACAGAGACATGCCTTGCCCCAGGGAGCTCAGGCCCCAGAGCACAGTTGTGGCAGGCATGAAAAGGTTGGAGTAGAGGTACAGAACATCATCAGTCCAAGAGCCACTGCCACCTTCACGCCATCCTGAGTCTCCCGCCAAATCTCCCAAATCTCGAGGGAGCTTGAAACATCTGTGACCCTCCCACTTTATCAGCGAAAGCCCCCTGGAGCAGTCAACCTGTGGAGAGTTCCTCACGCTGTGTTGCCTGGTGTGCTCGCACGTGCATGGCTATGTTTGTGTGTCTCTGTGCCATGGAATATCATTTTTTTCTAAATTGTGTGAGGGTGTTTTTACTGAAGAATTTTCTCAGAAGCAGCAGTTAGCTTTATTGGGGGGCGGGGCGGGGGAGAGTGAAGTATTTTTGTAGACCTTTCCTTAGAAACCGCATGAAACTCCTCAGAGGGACTCACTTAGACATGGAGTTGGTGGGGACTGTGCTGTTCAGGATGCACTGTGGGAGAACAGATATTTAGATCTTACCTTGAAGGAATCAAATATACCTGCAGGATGAAAGGGACCCATAACCATAACTTGCAATATATCAAAATCAATATTAACACAGAATCCTTGTTCCAGAATAATTTACTGGAAACACACAAATCCTTAGTCTGGTTTACAGGACCACACCCTCAAACACACACATAGACCCTTTGTCTAGGCTACTGGACACACACGCATTCATGGTCAGTCTAGTTTACTGAAATACATACCCGCAGTCTTGCCTTCTCGAATGTTCTTGCACAAGCACACACACAGGAATTTTCTAGAGCACACAGACCCCAGGCTGTTTTGTAAGACCTGTGCATTCTTACTTTACAGCCTATTTTCCTAAACGAGGTTCTAGTAAAATTACCCACTGACCCTTCTGGAGATGAACCCATCTTCCACATTTCCCACATCGACCGAGTCTACACCCTCCGAGCAGAAAGCATAAATGAACGGTAAGACCTGACACTCCCTATCACTGGGTGCAGGACACCTGCCAGCAATTCCCAACACCCCCCAGCTGCAACGCTATAAATTCTGGTGAGGATTGGGGAGAGTGTAATGTTTTTGTTTTTTTTTTCTAGAGCTTCTCAAATTTGGTCACATGGCATGGATTTTTTTCAAAATAAAATGGATCGAAACTAATTATGCTTGAGAATATTTTTTAAAGAAATTTCAGCAGTCTTTTAGCAAAATGGAGCATCTTGGGTTTGCCCAGGTTTCCCAGGTGGCAGAGACCAACAGGAAGGTGATTTGGGGGTTAGCAGGAGCACCCATACCTGAATCCTCTTCCCCTGGCACACGGGGCTCATTTTGGATCCTTGGGCTGCGGGTTTTTGCTTCCAGTCCTATCTTAAGGCTCTGGTCCTGGAGCCAAGTGAAATAGATCATTTTCTGAAGGGTGAGCTTGACACAAGGCCAACAACTTCCAAAGAGCATGTGTGCCAAGCCGGAGAATTGGCTGAAGTTACTGTGCATATGGCTCAGAAAAACACGAAGGAGAAAGGCCAGGCCAAAGTGCTTCCTGCTGAGTGTCTTGCTCTTTCTTGGGAAGTGGTTCCCAGTCTGGGAAATGGTTTTTGTTTTTCCCTTGGGTGTGTTTGTAGGAGAGACGTTTCTGCCTTACTGGGTTGGGCAAATATGTGATGTTTTTCAACAAGGAAAAAAAGAGGAGTGGTACCTCCTCCAGGGTGTCTGTCATTTAACATAGACTTCCTTCCTGGGGACACAGATGCAGGTCTTTTACCCATGAGAACACCACTTTCTTACTAATGGTAGGGATAATAGCATCCTGTGACATTTCTTTTCCGAGCCTTTGTCATTAAAATCAAATGAACCAACGAGAGTCCTGGAAACAGAATTTGAACAGACCCGAAGCCTTTTTTTCCCTGAGTTCTGTTTGGCAACATTCTGTCTTTTCCCGTCCAAGGACTGCCTGGGTGCAGAAAATCAAAGCTGCTTCTGAGCTCTACATAGAGACTGAGAAAAAGAAGCGAGAGAAGGCGTACCTTGGTAAAGTATCTCCAGGTGGCAGGGCCCGAGGTTCCTGCAGAGCTGGAGTAGGAGAGCCATTTGGTTGGGCCCAGAATCCTTAGCGCTGGAGCTGTGCCTAGAAGTAGAGGGGTGCGTGAGATGGGATGGCAGTGGGCACAGGGTGGGGGTGCAGGCAAGGGGTAGAGGGAGGAGCCAGGAGCCAGGAAGCAAGGGTTTAAGGAGAGGAGAGGGGAAGTGCTTTGGATTGGGTGCAGGAAGGCCAACCGGGATAGACAGGCATCCCGTGTTGAAATGAAGCGTGTGTTTCCCTGCTGTCACAGTCCGTTCCCAAAGGGCAACAGGCATTGGAAGGTTGATGGTGAACGTTGTGGAAGGCATTGAGTTGAAGCCCTGCCGGTCACACGGTAAGGACCAAGGAAGCGTCCCCTGGCGTGCTGGGGGTTTCCCTGCATTTCCCACACCCCCCAACCGACCTTAAATCAAGTTCTTAGCTTAAATTTTCTTCGGGAACTGGCTTTCATGGCACTTGTTAAAAAGCGGGAGGTTTTATTTGTTGGTGTGAATGCTTTCCATTCCTCTGCTTCTCTGGGGAATCTGACTGGCTGTGTCACAGTAGAGGTGACACATTGTGAGGCTGAGGAGAGCAGACAGTTCAAAGGCCCACCCATCTAATTAGTTGCTCTCCATTTAAGTACGATACTGAGTTTGGGGAGTTTTCACCCAGATTTTGCACTTATTAAGTGTGACAGTGGAGGGGACAAATGAGGTGTCGTTCCCACCTGGCAGAGGCTTTTGTTTGCTCCAGGAAAGAGCAACCCATACTGCGAGGTGACCATGGGCTCCCAGTGCCACATCACCAAGACAATCCAGGACACTCTGAACCCCAAGTGGAATTCCAACTGCCAGTTCTTCATCAGAGACCTGGAACAGGAGGTCCTGTGCATCACCGTGTTCGAGAGGGACCAGTTCTCACCAGACGGTGAGTAAAAGGCAGTCCCGCGGCACCTCCCCTCCCTCCCTGTCCCTCGTCTTGCAGGGGTCCCTGTTTTCTCACCAGAGGACTTGGCCTTGGAACTCTCTGGGCTTCGCTCCTGAGGGATCAGGTTGACATAAGACAAGGTGATGCTGGGGATGTCCGAAGGGACAAGCACAGGACACACTGGTCTAGTTGTTCCCACTGCCTTAAATAAGGACAGTAGGATTTCCAAGGCAGGGACTGCAAAGAGGAGTACACCCAAGAGCCCCAGCATAGTTCTTTCACCCTTGACAAAAGACTATGGGATAGAACTGGCCAACAGAGTTGAAGGGACGTCAGCCCACAACAGGCACAGCAGAATCAGTCGGCATCCACCGGGTGACATTTCTGGTTAGGAAAAGGGATACTCCTTCCTCAGTTGGCTCTCCATCTCTGCTTTGAGCCTGGAGAAGAACAATCCCTGGCCAATGAATCCAAAATATTAGCTGCTTTTCTTTCACCCCAGCAAAAGTCAGAGAATAAGTTAAAAGATGATGGTTGTAATTATAATCAGAGGAGCATAATTAAGTGCCAGGAGTGAGCACCTGTTGCTGGCAGTATCTGTGCAGAGGTTCAATGGCTCCACGTGGCCTTTGCCTCTTAGTTCTTCTGGTATGAACTATGCCATGTGACTTACAAGCCCTGGGCTTGCCCAAAGACAGTCCCATAGCTGGTTGAATGCCAGCGCGGGGCCAACAATACTTTCTAAATATGTACAATTATGGTGTGTCAATCTTAAAAAAATATTAAGCAGAATAATTCATAAAAAACAACCCAACCCCGCCCCCGCCCCCAAATACAATCTAATCCCAAACCTTCAGGTCTGTACGGCATTTCAGTGTGTGTGGACGATGTGTAATGATGCGATCAGGCATCACCTCAGACATTTATCATTTCTTTGTGTCAGGAACATTCAGAATCTTCTCTTTCTCTGTCTTTTAAATAATGAAACATCATGACACCCTGAGAGCTCCACGGGGGAGAAACTGGGAACCATGGTACTGTTCTTACTCCAAAGGTCAGAGGAAAGGGAGAGTAGGCAGCTCCTTGGGAGATTCGCAGGGTGACCCGTGCATGCCTGGAAGACAGGGATTCCTCCTGAGCAGGGTCTGTTTGTTCTCTTTTCAGATTTTTTGGGTCGGACCGAGATCCGTGTAGCTGACATCAAGAAAGACCAGGGTTCCAAGGGGCCAGTGACGAAGTGTCTGCTGCTGCACGAGGTCCCCACGGGAGAGATTGTGGTCCGCCTGGACCTGCAGTTGTTTGATGAGCCGTAAGGAGCGGCCTGGGCCACGCTCAGAGGCTGCACCTGCTGTCTGCAAATTGTGTTCTTTTTCTAAAAAATTATTATTTGGAGTTTAGCCACAGGACAATGGGACAGCAAAGACGGGCCCCTCCAATCTAGGAATAATTCTCGACAATCCTGCTCCTTGAACAGTTTCTCGTTTTATGAAAAAAACACTGTTTTCCTTCCTCCTCACTGTGGGTCTCACTGTGGCTTCTAGGGTCTCTGAATCTTCTAACCCTCAAGAAGGTTGGATTGGAACCTGGCCCATCCTTGGACTCGTGGCATGGGCCTGGTTACTGTAGAGTAGATTCCTAAATGCAGTGTCGGTTTTCTTGGAGAACTTGTGTGACCTCCTAATTCTCATGTCCATCAGCCCCTTCGTAGACTCCTTGGCCTATACCGCCCAGGCCTTGGTGTGTTTAGAAACAATTATGAGCTGGGCCTGGTGGTGCGCGCCTGTAATCCCAGCAGCTTGGGAGGCTGAGGCAGGAGGATCACGAGTTCAAAGCCAGCCTTGGCAACTTAATGAGGCTCTAGGCAGCAAGACCCTGTCTCCAAATAAAATATAAATAAAAGGCTGGGGATATGGCTTAGTGGTTGAGTGCCCCTGGGTTCAATCCCTAGTACAAAAAAGAAAGAAAGAAAGAAACAATTAGGATGGATTTGTATGGCTTCAGAATCTCATTCCCCTGCAGGGAAATGCTCTCTGGGATCTGATTGCTCTGTGTGATAGTCTCCTAATTGAACTCTAACTAAGCTCTTTGAAGAGCTAGTCCCTGGAAGATTCCAGCATGTCTGCTGTTCCAGCTGTTCCATTCTCCTCTAGGCCCCGGAATTGATATGTCAGTGAAAGCACACAGTGTACCTTCCGGTGATTCAGTTCGGATTCCTGGTGTGCGTGGAAGGTGGGCACAGAAGCTCATCATCTACAAAGTCGTGCTTTGCTGGGTTAGATCACTGCCTGTTGCTGGGAAGGCAACTGTGTGACGTCATTGAATCCTGGTTGCCAGCCCTTGTTGCAAAGTTTTATTTTGGCTTGGAGGCCTGTGACGTTCCATGACAAGAGTCACTGCTGGTGACCAGGTCTGAGCCTATTCTCTGATCAAATGTACCAGAGGGAAAGTTCAGAAGCAGTCTTTGATAGGTTCCTAAAAATGGTAGGTCCTGCACCCCTAAGATTTAAAAAGGAAAGATGACAAACTGGAGGTGGAGTGGGAAGGTGTGAAGGATGCCCATCATGTGGTGAGGAGTGTGCCCACAGCTCTGGGGAGGAAGAGCCACACTCTTCTTGGGCTGCGTCAGACACAGGCCAGCCTCTCGGGTGGAATATGGGCGTTTGCTGCCAGAGTCAGGGGTACGACTGTGTACCAAGCTACTTAGTGTTCTCCCTTGAATTCCAGGAGGGCAGCTGATTAATTAGAATACCTTGATTTGCTAATGAGAAGTGTGGGCCATATTTTGTTTGCATGTTGATGTTCTCATAATTGCAGCTCGTTGTGGTCATGAGGTATCCTTTGCATGTCCTCTTGGTACTAGAGTCTAGCTTTCCTGTGTTGGATGGTATTCTGAAATTTGACTGTAGGTCCTTAGAATTTCATTAGGGTTGTAGCAGTGTTTTCACAATGATCGTGGCAGAGTACCCACTTCTTTGGGAACTGAATGCGTAGAGTTATTGCTTCTGATAAGGGCCCTGTCCTAGTTCAAGCAGTTTTTAAAACGTGTGTGTTGGAAAGAATAACAAAGTTTACATTTCATACTTTTAAGAAACACTTTATTATTTATTTATGAAGATAGTGTAGAATTTTGTATCAGACATAAGTATTTTTTGAAACAAGCAGATAAACCCTTTAGTTAGAAACTTTCAACTGAACATGTTGTAGAGTAAGTTCAACTTCAGGCATGCATTTCTTTACCACTTCCCGGCAGAAAACATGGTTAAAATACTTTGTGTTTTTTGATGTTGTTAAGAAACTCTCTTAAATCTATAAATAGACATGTAATTCGTGTGTTCCTATTTCTATACCCAACAGAGTTTGTTCGTTGTGTTTATGAGGGACATGTTACCATAGTAGGAAAAAAAATGTATTAAATGTTAAGTGGGATAGTGTTGGATCACCATTCCAATCCCTTTCTTTCTGTTCTCCCTTTTCTTCCTTCATTGACTTTATTTTCGTATTAATGTTGGACATCTCTGCTCCTGTAGGGAGTGTGTGGTATGCACAATGATAAACCTCTTAAAATCTTTTAGATTCCAGGTCTCCTACTGGTAGAATCCCATTATTGGAATTATGTAGCATGAAAAAGCAATATGTGGTCTTTTTTTCCCACGTGACTCTATGGCGCATCCTTGAGATGCTTCTCAGCCTAGTGAGTTCTGGATGAGTGTCCTTGTATTTTCTGGTGTGATTTGTAATGTGACCCATGGTATTATGAATGCGTTGGGCTGTCCCTCCAACCTGGCTGTGACTGAGAGTAGTGTTGGGGAGGCAGGAATATGGGTGATGCATGGAGCCTTGAGCCCTTGGCCCTCTATTCCTTCACTTCTCTCTTTCTGCTGTCTGGGCTACATTTCACAGAGATGAAATGCCCTGGGCAGGAAGGAGTCTGTCGCCTGGCTCTTTGCTTTCTAACTACAGGGTTTCTCTAGGCGTGCTTCCTGACATCCCGATACAGCCTTTTAGACACCACTGCAAGTGTTCCTCTTCTCTGAGCCACACTGCTAGTTCCTCCTGTGCTATCTGACATCCTCTCACCCAGAAAGGAGCTTTCCTGGTTACATGCTATGCTCTGACCCTCAGAAAGCCCTGAGGATTATCCTGAGCACAGGAGATCTTGGACCTTCTTCCTAGACCTGCTGTCTCACAGGGTCATTCCACATCCTGGTCCTTCTGGGTCAGGGCTGCCCTGGCTGATATTTTCTCTCCTGGCCTGTAAACAGAATCCTCTCCTAGAATCAGGACCATGAGGGCCTAAAGACATATTGTGGTTCATTCAGGTCCAGGTCTGACCTAATGGGGAAGAGAGAACATTCTAGGCTTGGGTTACCAGGAATGCTCCAGAATTGGGGCCAGTCTTCCCTGTTTCACTGCTTGGATAACAGGTCTCTGTCCTCTGATAGCAGAGGAGAAAGCTCTGCTCCCAAAGAACATTAGTGGAATAGGGGGCATTTTTTTTCTTTGCTTTTGATCTAGATCTATGCAAGTACTCCATTTCATCTGGTTGGGTTGACTTGAACTTAAGTGAAAAAAAAAAATTCCCATCAAAAAATGGTAAATTGACTGCTTTACTATGCCTTACCTTGGTGACCTGATGCCAACACCCCAGGTGTCCTTGGGGGTGTGCCCTAGGGTCAGGGGGACTGGGGAAGGATGATAGAGGTCGACCTTTCAAGGCTGACCATCTCTCTAGAAGCTGGCTGAGGCACACAGAGAGGATGTTCTAGTCTTTGGGGACTGGAGATCAAGAGATAGATGGAGAAGGTACTTCTGGTTGAGTTTGAAAGGTGGAGATCCTAGAGTATATTTTAGACTTTTCTAGAACCTCATAGGGGAGAAAAAAACTATTTCTCCTCCAAGGATTTTTTTTTTCCCCCTAGTTTGTCAGGTCTTTTTGGTTCATAGGAAGAAAATTTGGGTGTATAAAAACTAAGAATTTCCACTGGAAACGAAGTGCAATTTGATTGACTTGATTCACCTTTCCTTTCAGATTTGAGATCCCTTTGAGCTGACAGGGCACTTACACATGGACACCTGGAATACTTTTCAGATAACGGGGTCCTTTCAGGCTTGTGGTCAGTGTGAGGCTAGCAGTTGGTCTGTTTATTCCCAGGCGCTCGCCCTGTGAGTTGAGAGTGTCTTGTGCCAGAGTAAGGGGGTGAAGACAAACAGGACTTGATGTCTTTGTTTTGCTTTTAGGTGAAAGAGCTTCAGCTCACACCAGCAGAGGCACTATGGGTGGCTGAGGCACACAGAGAGGATGTTCTAGTCTTTGGGGGCCGGAGATCAAGGGATAGATGGAGAAGGTACTTCTGGTTGAATTTGAAAGGTGGAGTGAAGCCCTCAGTGTGGTCCAGGCCACCCTAAGAAGCATTTGGTAGAACTAATGCCTCTTTTTTTGGCACCCTGGGATGTTGGACTCCCTGCCAGGGACTTTCCCTCACTGCTGGGGACAGCAGGTATCAGATACCAATATTCAACTAGCCACTTAGTACTTTGTAAATGGATTTGGGATGTTCAGTCTCCTCCTTTTCCCTGGCCCCGCAACATCAGACTCTTGTGTTTCTCTATGCTTCGGATTCATTTGCTTTAAGGATACTCTGGAGATGGCATTTCTGAGAAGGCTGGCTCAGGGTTGGTTGGCCAGGCTCTTGTTCTGGGATCAATTGTAGGGACACAGACAGGCTGTGTGTACTGGTAGGTGCTTCCCCAGAACAGCCCTGAGCTCCCTGGACTAGTGCAAGAGGGTCAGGCATCCCAGCGAGTGACCCGAGACCTTCATCTGTCAGCCCATCTCTGTCCTGTGCATGAACACGTAGTTCTCTTGAGGGAGGGTCAGGGCTTGAAAAATGAGGACATTTTCTCTTCTTTTCTTCCTACCCACCCTGTAATTGCCTACCTGCTTTGGGCCCCCTTTCAGAGGAAGGCAGGCCTGTTCGCAAGGGTGAGGAAGCACTCACAGTAAAGCAGCAGGGGGAGAGGAAAAAGAGACTCCTCAGTCTCTTTTTCCAAAACAGGCTGTCAAGTAGTCCTGGGCCATTGGCCTTCCAGGCTTAAATGGGCCATATCAAGGCTTTCAGGGATGCCAAGTGGCTCACCTGCTGAGACGGAGAAGTACTCCTTTAGGGAGCTCCAGTCAGGGGGCCTGTTTGCAACTCTTGACCCCGTGGTCCCTTTCTTTGATGAAGAAGTGGCTCCACCTGTTCTTGTCACCGTGGCTTGTACCTCCAGTGCAGCAGTCCCTAGAACCAGGCCAGCTTGCTGGAGTGATGAGTTCCCATGAGCTCTT